GAACACCAGTGTTTTTGCGACTAGTACGAGTCGAGGTGAACCAACAAGCAGAGTGCAGTTGTCCAGTGACAAGAGTTGTCTCTTCTGCAATAAGCGTCATCTCCTGGACGACTGTGAGCGCTTTCTGCGCAAGCCTTTCGCTGAGCGAAAGGATTTCTTCTTCAAGAAGAGACTGTGCATGGGCTGTGCACGTTCCAGTGATCATCAAGTGAGAGAGTGTAACGACAAAAAAGTTTGTCGGATCTGCGCTGGTGCCCATTTGACCTGTCTCCATCGCAACTTCCAACAGAGACGGCCAGAAGAAACTGCTTCAAGTAACCCCCAGTCAGCAGCGGCAAGTAAACAACCAGCTGACAAAGTCCCAAACAATTCATCCCCACCCAAAGAAGTCATTGCTGTGCACCCCAAACGAGATGAGGGAATGTCCAACTGTATTCAAGTGTGTTCCCAACCAGACCAAGAAGGAGAAGGTGACCACTCCATGATTATACCAGTGCTGGTTCGTAGTGAGAGTGATCCAGCGAGGGAGTTCCTCGAATATGCCATCTTGGACGAACAATCCAACAGTTGCTTCGTGTCAAAGAGTTTGTGTGAAAGGATGAACCTGCAGGGACCAGAGACGCAGTTACTACTTAGTACAATGCAAGAGCAAAATGTGCAAATCACCAGCAGTCGAATATCCGGGCTTGAAGTGCTTGATGTCAATAGAGAGCACACTGTTAAACTTCCAGTCTGCTTCAAGCGGGACAGCGTTCCAGCCAAGAAATCCCAGATACCGAAACCTGCGGTTGTGCATCAATGGCCCCACCTGAAGTCTCTAGGAGAGAAACTCATGCCCTATGATCCAACCCTGCACATCTCTCTTCTCATCGGAAGCAATTGCCCAAGAGTGGTTAGACCCAGAGAAATCATCGCCGGTGGAGAGGATGACCCCTACGGCCAGAGGTCACTACTAGGCTGGGGAGTAATTGGGAACGTTTGCAAGGCTGCACGACAAACCGATGACCAACCTGCAGTATGCAACAAAGTGGTTGCTGCTGAACCACAAAGCTACCAACACTTCGTCTATGGTACGAGGGTGAAAGAAGTCTTAAACCCAGAGAAAGTTCTCAAGGTGTTGGAATCCGACTTTGTCGAGAATCATCAGAGGAAGCCATACTCAGTAGAAGACGAGAAGTTCCTGAGCGTGATGGAAAAAGGAATAAAGAAAGCATCCGATGGCCACTACGAAATGCCACTACCACTGAAGTCTGACGCTGCGACCCTGCCTAACAACCGCCAACTTGCAGTAAAGAGATGGAATCAGCTGTCCGCCAGATTCCGAAAGAATGTGAAGTTTCGTGAAGACTACAGGGAGTTCATGAAAGATGTTATCCCAAAGTGTGCAGAGAGAGTCCCCCTAGACCAACTGGAAGTTGATGAGGGAAAGGTAAACTATGTGCCGCACACCGGAGTCTATCACCCCAAAAAGCCGGACAAGATAAGAGTGGTGTTCGACTGTTCAGCCAAATATGGAGGCGTTTCACTCAACGACCATCTCCTTCAAGGTCCTGACTTGACTAATGGTCTTCTCGGTGTTCTGTGTAGATTCAGGAAAGAGGAAGTGGCCTTTATGGTTGACGTGAAGAGCATGTTCCATCAGTTCTATGTAGAAGAGAAGTACCGTGACCTGCTGCGATTCCTATGGTGGGAAAATGGTGATCCAGAGAAGCCAGTGGTCGAATACAGAATGAAAGTTCACGTGTTTGGGGCCGCTAGCTCACCAGGCTGTGCCAACTTCGGGCTGAAGAGAGCAGCAGATGATGGAGAGGATGAGTTTGGAGCAGAGGCAGCAAACTTCATTCGTAATGATTTCTACGTAGACGATGGACTGAAGTCATTACTGATCAAAGCCAGTCAGAATCTGTGTGGAAAAGCTGGGTTGAAACTGCACAAAATCATCTCCAACAAAAGAGAGCTGTTGGAAAAATTCCCAGCAGAAGAGCGAGCCAGTGGTACAAGGGAACTAGATCTGAAGGTTGATGTACTACCAATGGAAAGAGCCCTGGGCGTCACTTGGTGTGTCGAGAGTGACACCTTTCAGTTCCATATTGAGTTGAAAGATAGACCATTCACAAGACGAGGCATACTTTCAACTGTAAGTTCGATCTATGACCCAAATGGCTATGTGGCTCCAGTAACCCTCAGAGGGAAGAGGATTTTGCAGCAGATGTGTCGCGACAAACTTGATTGGGACAGTCCAGTGCCAGAGATGCTACAACCTGAGTGGGAGAAATGGCGTTTAGAGGTTCTCGGCTTAGAGAAGATCCAAATCCAGCGATGTTTTAAGCCCAAGGATTTTGGAACTGTGACAGCAGTTGAATTGCATCATTTTTCCGATGCAAGCCAAGATGGTTATGGTCAGTGTTCCTACCTGCGACTAGTCGATGAGAACAATAAGGCACATTGTTCCTTTGTAGTCGGTAAGTCCAGAGTGGCCCCTCTGAAGCTCGTCACCATCCCCCGGCTAGAACTTGCAGCAGCAACTGCCTCAGCAACTGTGAGTGAATTCCTGCGACGAGAGCTATGTTACGAGATGCTCCACGAATATTACTGGACAGACAGCAAGATTGTTTTGGGATACATAAACAATGAAGCAAGACGATTCCATGTCTATGTTGCTAACAGAGTGCAGCAAATCAGAAGTCTGACTAACCCAGAGAGGTGGATGTACGTAGACACCAAAGAAAATCCTGCTGACGAAGCATCACGTGGTCTGACAGCAAAGGAACTTATAGAGAAGTCCTGCTGGTTATCCGGTCCAGATTTCTTGCAGAAGGATGGCCCCTTTCAACCCCAGCCAGCCGTAGTTGCACCACTGAGTGAATCAGACCCAGATGTGAAAAGAGTCTCAGCTTTCGTGACAACAGCTGAGAACAACGCACGACATCATCACTTCGAAGTGAGCCGACTTGATTGCTTTTCATCCTGGAATAGAGCTTGCAGGGCAGTCGCTCTTTGTCTGAGGTTGAAGACAAAGTTGAGGAACAGAGTAGTGAAGAAACCTTGTGAAGGGAAAGTTTGTTCCACTCCTGCGAAGCAAGCAATCACTGTGGCAGAACTACAGAATGGAGAGATGGAAATCATCAAAAATGTTCAGCATGAACATTTCAGTGTCGAGTTACAGGCCCTACAAGAACTTGGTGTAATCGGGCAAGTCACCGATGGAAAGACTGCAAGGGTGAGAAATGACTACCTGAAGAAGACGAGTTGTCTGTACCGGCTAGATCCCTTTCTAGATGTCGATGGCATCATCCGAGTGGGTGGCCGTATTGCCAGATCTGATCTTCCACTTGAAGCTAAGCATCCAGCCGTTCTCCCTCACAAAGGTCATGTCACCCAGTTGTTGATTCGCCATATTCATGAGAAGGTGAATCACATGGGCAGAGGAATGACACACAACGAGCTACGTCAGAGAGGGTACTGGGTAATTGGTGGTTCATCAGCTGTGTCCAACTACATCTCAAGATGTGTGACCTGCCGCAAACTGCGTGGATCGCTGCAGCGACAGAAGATGTCTGACCTACCCGTAGATCGACTAGAGCCAGCGCCCCCATTTTCCTATTGCGCTGTGGACTACTTCGGTCCATTTTTGGTGAAAGAGCGTAGGAGTCAAGTGAAACGTTATGGTGTCCTGTTCACATGTATGGCGTCTAGAGGTGTTCATCTAGAGACAGCAAATTCCTTAACGGCAAGTTCTTTCATCAATGCCCTTACAAGATTCCAGAGCAGGAGAGGACCTGTACGTTAACTGCGTTCAGACCAAGGTACAACATTCATCGGTGCTCGGAGTGAGCTGAGAGAAGCGCTAGCTGAGATGGAGCAGGACAGAGTCCACCAGTACCTGTTAGAGAGCAACTGTGACTGGATTCCCTTCAAGCTGAACACACCGCATGCCAGTCACATGGGAGGCGTGTGGGAGAGACAGATAGGTACAGTACGCCGTGCACTAGAGGGTCTTCTTCTTAAAACCACGACACAACTGGATGATGAATGTTTCAGGACCTTAATGACTGAGGTAGAAGGCATCATCAATTCACGACCTCTCACGACAGACTATCTCTGCTCATCAGACGCACCAGAGCCATTGACACCCAATCATCTGTTCACCATGAAACCCAAGGTGGTTCTGCCTCCGCCTGGAAAGTTCCAGAAGGAAGATGTCTATGCCCGCAAATGGTGGAGACGTGTCCAGTACTTGACCAATGAGTTTTGGGTGAGATGGAGAAAGGAGTTTCTGCACCATCTTCAAGAGCGCAAAAAGTGGGTCAATCCAGAAAGAGATCTACAAGTAGGTGATGTCGTGATCTCCAAGGAAGGTGAGCAGACCAGGAACCAGTGGCCACTGGGACGCGTAGTGGAGACCTACCCGAGCAATGACGGAAGAGTCAGGTCAGTGAAGCTCTTGATGGCCGATGGCACACGAGACAACCTTGGCAGACGGCAACACTCTCCATCACTCCTTGACAGACCAGTACACAAGCTTGTCCTGTTGGTACCTGCAGAGAAGCCTGAAGCTCAAGAGACCAGAGAAGTCCCCGCCGAAGAGCCAAACTGAAGATCCTGCCAGAAGAGACCCACTGCTGACGACAATCTATCTAGTTTATGAACTTTACATTTTAACTGTTCTTGTTACTCATTAGTAGGTAGATACCAATTTAACGAGCCAACACTAGTCTGCATCTGAGGAGCAGTGCGTGCGAGACAAGATGACCACCAAGATGAAGGAACATTTTCATGGACATTAATCTTTGAAGTTCAGGTTTGATTTTAGTTTGTTAACTGCGAGATGCAGTTAGAGGAGCCATGTCACTGCAGCAGCTGTGCAGTGATTAATTTTCTTAACAAGTTTTTTCATAGTTTAAATTTAGAATTCCATTTTTTAGAGTATTACTGCATATTTAGTGAAAGAGCCTACAGTTAATGTTCACCTTATAATAGTGAAAGAGCCCACTTGTGTTACATTAAGTAGCCTCCTTCCCACCACCAGAGTGACCTTGTGCACTTCCTATGTGCATACAGAGACCTTGTGTGGGTACAAGTACCACATAATCTTGCCACATAAACAATAGGCAGCCATATTTACTGACCATGTGATTTCAGAGACAAGTGTTTTCATACTCATAGCAATTTAGTTCTTCAAGTTTCATCACTTTATTCACTCTTTGTGGACCATGAAAGACCCCATTTTGGTAAGAAGCATTTTCCTTGATTTTATGAGTTACTTTTAATATGTTTAGAGACAGAATTCAGTGGATTTTCTGAGATTTTAGAGTTGATTATTCATTCAGCAAAAACAGATTGAACTGCAAATAGTGTTTAGATTTGACAAATCAGACTGCACATTTTTTGGACTCAACTTGCCATGTTTAATAGATTAGACTTTTCCATGTACATTTATTATAGTTTTCTTATTAGTGTTTTTTCTGCTTTATTAAATTGCAGATTGTTATCTCAATCTACTCAATCTACTATCAGCAATCACCACCATGTTGTCAAGTGGCTTCATTGTGTTTTGTGTGTGGTTCCTGGATTGATTGTGAATACCAGTCACTTGGGAGTCCTTTTCTCATAAGTTTGAGAACTAGTAGTCCGAAACTCCTCTGGGCACAAGTGAGCCCCGAGGCAGCCACAAAGAGGTAATTCACCAAAGTTTTTGATATCAACACTCGGACTGTAATCCGGAAAGATTTTTTATTTTTGTTTTTTTGATGCAATTCTGTAGGTTAAATATATAAGCAACGTGAACCTCCGACTTTATATCAAATTGGGTAAGTTATAGGATTTGGTTGATATGGAACAATCATCCGAAATCCTTTCAGTTATATTCTCTAATCATCAATAAGACTATTATGACAATTGTGTCAAAATAACAAGAATGATGATGTACAATATTGTTACGGTACCAGTCTTTAAATTTCCCAGCAGTTGATTAGGCATTTCCTTTACAAACGTTCCCAAGGAAACTTAAGCCTTGAAGTTTCAGGTGTTCAGATCTCAGAAGGGGAACCAGACTTGAACACCGAGGCCCAGTTTGAGAAGGTATGATTGATGCATTTTTTCTTATGTATTTTATTATCTTTTCATCCGTTCATATAATTTGTTTGTTTCATTTTTTATTATTTGCTTCATAATAATTCAGTTGTTATTTGTGGAGGAAAGAATGGACAGGGATCAGTGATGTAAAGGATAAACAATCTTTTTTACTTTTTCATTTTTTTCCTTTGGTTTTTAAACATAAAGGTGAAGCAATTCCAAGCAGACCATTATGAAGAAGGGAGGGATGTATATGATGCATTCGCCAAAGCAATCGCTGTAATAAGTTCCAATGTCCGATGGATGGATGGAACTAATGATGTCGCTGATTGGCTCAAGAAGGTTGTGTATTAGGGTCTATAAAAGTCAGTCAACCTGAGCATTAACATGAGGCAAAAACATTTGTAGACAAGTGCGTTTTAAAACCGGAAAGTAAAATACTCTTTGAAAAAGTTGAGGAATAAGCAGAAAATCCACTGATATGGAGTGAATGTTTTAAAAAAAAAGAACATTCCAAACCATTCCGATTTTTTAATTGAGGGAGATGCTAACATTTGCATTTGAACCTTTCTCTTAGAAAGGTTATTAGTGAACCAGTCACTGTTTTATCACATCGGTGGTTCTCGGAGGTCTGTTGAGTTGTTTATGATTTCAGTTATACGTACTAATTTTTATGTGTTTTGCTAGTTTTTGTTGTGTTAGATAGTGTTTGCAGTTAAAATTGTAATCGTTTTATTCAAATATTATGCTGTTTAAATTTACTTCAGTTGTTTAATTCAGATGTTTTTATATTCAAACTGTTAGTTTCAAAGTATTAGAAAAAGCATTTCCATTCTTGCAGATTGTTCTTTTTATTTTAATGTAGTTACAATGAGATTTACACAAACCTTTTCCAGCGACATACAGAAACCATTGCCCTCTAACTCCTCCTCAAGGCATAAGGTCTATCACGAGTGAAGGGAAATAACCTCAGGTTAAAATTAAAAGAATTAACAAAAATGGTACTAAAATTCCATGTGCAGAAGAATACAACATTCTGCTGACATTACTTTATTCTTCTGATATGCTATACATTCTGAATTTTTGTTCACACTTATGCGCCTATCAAATGGTTTAATTGACCGAATCTATGCAACGGAAAAAAATTGTTGAGAAAGATGTCAAGCTTACAGGACGTGATTCAGGATTTACACCCTCAGTGAGTGAAATTCATGTTGTATTGGTTTAAAACAAAATTTAAAAAGTGAATATAGTATTATGACCCAAAGGTCAAATTGCATGTAAATCATGGTAAACATTCACTACTATAATACAAATGTATAGGCCTATAGAGAAAAAACAACATACACATGTATAAGTTGAGTAGGAAACAAGAAAGACGAAATTAGTACATTACACATACAGGAAGATTTGTCTGCCGCAAATCTTTGCAAAATATATTAAAAAGCTGCTCACCGAGAATACTTGTTCAGCACGTTGATAAAAAGTTAAAACAGGCTGAAAAAAAAAACGGGGGCGGGAGAAATTGGATGGCGGAAAATTGAAAAACCAAGACAGAATACAAGAAAAATTATGTAAACACTGCAAATGAAAAGACGTGTCAAACCTTGTGTAAAACATTCGATTTCCTGGGTCAAAAACACAACTGCACAACACTGAAAACGGAGGATGCTACAGTCTCCGCATTTGGAGGATGGACCTTTTTATCAAGTAAAAAGGCTCTAGCAAAAAGGCTCTAGATTGTCCCGCTTGGGCCAATATGTGGATTGGGTTTTCAGTCCCTACCCGATTCCATGGGTTTTCCCCAGAATATTCTTCTGGGCTTTTCCTCCCACCTCTTAAACTGTAATTTCTTCTCATTGTCTCCTATCTACAGGTTTCGTCAGGCTTTCGGGCTACAGTGCCTATGGCACTTTAGAGGAATCCTTGGTTTCATTACCAGAAAGAAAAAAAAATATTTAAGGCCGAATAAAAAAAAAAACATGTTTCTCGTCCGGGTTTTCGGAAAAAAGGAGGAAGCGGGGCTTTTTATTTTTTAGTTGTTTCAAGATGGCCGCCATTTAAAAATTACCTGCAATTGTTTGTGTTTCCACTGTTCAAAGACACTTTTAAAATGAAAGATATGTTGGACAAGACAACTGAACATAGTTACAGTGTCATTTAGACTTGTATTGGTCTACAATTTATTTTCCGATGAATTTGTGGACTTTTTCAGTGTTTTTTTTAATGCATTTTTCAAAAATAAAAAAATTCAGGCGGCCTCCAAAAAGTAAGCGGGCGGGGACGAGAAACATGTCGTTTTTTTGTACTTCGCCTAAATGATACTTAAGCTATTGAATGATGCATTTTAAGCACATCATTTACATTTCGTATTCACACAAAAAGCCGGCACAACAAATCAGAATATTCATTCATTCAGTTACTTTTCAAAAGTGTATGCTCAAATTACATGTACATAAGGCTAATTTAAAACATTTTGTTTTGGGATTTGTTTATATATACAATAAATGCAGAAAAATATATATAACTTGTTGGGCAAAACTTGCAAACCACACAAAACACCATGTCAAATATTGTATGTACATTTATATTTAGTTCAGTATGATTTGCAACATGCCATGGGCCCTGTTGCTCTAAACTCCAAATTTTATTTGTGGGCAATAAATCTCAATTATTTTTTTATAATATAAGGTAACATATTTTAATATTTAAATGACAACAAGGACTATCCCATTAAGCGCTCAGTTTATGTCCATATTGGAAACCGGCCCTTCAATTTGACCCACACAATCCGCAGTGTGATTTGCTGTAGGGACAGTATTTTCAATGGTACATTCCTGGGGTTCTGGGGTAATTTCCTTGCTTTCAACATCCAGCACTAAGTCAGTCATGGGAAGTTCAGGTACGCTTTTTTCCTCATCAGAATGTTCTTGTTTAGTTTCGTTTGGTGCAGCGGACTCGACTTGGGCTGTTCCTGAATACCCCTCTGCCCCTCCAGGATTTTCTTGCACGACTTGCAGTTTCAATTCGTCTTCTATTGGAGGTTTGGCCATTTCATTATCCAGTGAGGATGGCATTACCAGATCCCCACTGGTCAGAGAGGGATCTGGTACAATTTCATCTGCTACCACATCCTCTGCTGTAACAGCACTGTTGTTCAAATTATTTGACATAGACAGGACCTCCAAAGAAGATTGAGGTATCTCATCATCATCGAATGCGGGTTTTGGTGAATCTGCTCCAGCATCTCTTTCTGACTCATCTCTCTTACCTTCTACATCTTCCCTAATGTCCTCACTGGGAGAGGCAACCTCCTGATCTATTTTAATCTTAGAGTCTTGTTTGATATCCTTGATTTCAGAGTCACTCTCCTGATGTTCTTTATTGATGTCCTCACTTTCAAAAGTACCCTTATCTACATTCTTCACAACGCCCTCATTAACATTGGAAGCACTCTCTTCAACCTCTTCTCTGACGTCCTTGCTTTCAGTATTATCCATGTTATCCATCTTATTTCCAACATCCACCATCAAGTCCTCATTTTCAAAGGCTCCCTCATGGTCTATCTTATTTTCAACATTTTCTTTGATGTCCTCATTCTTTAAGGCATCTTCCTTGATGTCCTCGGTTCTGGAAGTAGCCTCCATCATTTTGCCCCAATCTTCCTCAGCTTCCTCCTCATTCCCTTCCCCTTCCTCTTCCCCCTCCTCCACAAGTGGCGTCAGTGATGTCATCCCGCTCTTACTCATGTCATTGACAGCAAACTCAAATTCGTTCTTCAGCTCCTGTGGCTCAGGGGATGGGGGTGGGGCCATAGGTGTGGCCATGCTGATCTCCTGGCCCGGTGCCATTTCGCGAGGCTTCTCCGGTGAGGTCATAAAGTCCCGTTCATCCACTACGGGCCAGGGCTCTGGTGTAGCGGATGGCTGTGGGGTAACCGGCGGTACAGGGGACCGGCTGGGAGCATCGGAGTTGCCACCAGCAGTGATGCTGGTGCAGTTGCCCCAGGGAGTGGAGACCGGAGTCATGCCATATTTCACTGGGGATGTTGGGAGGCTGGTGTCCATGGCTGAAGTCCCTGGATAAGAGGTTGGCAGCTCGCTGTGCACTTCTCGGATCGTGCCTAGGGCCTCTGCATTCAAGGGATCCTGAGCAGTGGTTTCTTTCTGCAGGGTACCAGTGGTTTGTTTAGATGGGCTTGGCGAGCGACCAGGTCTGTGGTAGCTGGCCGACAGCGGCTTGTATGCCTGGTGGATGTTGGTGGCAGGGGTACCCAGGGGTGCCTGGGGCACACCTGTGGACAGAGATGGAGACACAGCGTGGAGGGGATGCTGCAAAGCAAACAAAGACATCAGTCAAAAATAAGTTTCCTCTCGTTGAGACCAATGAACAGGTTTGCAGTAAAGGTCCTGCACAACTTATCTTTGATTCAGCTATTATGAAAGTGACTTTCTTCTCTATGCATATTGCTTTTTTGCATACAACTTTGTGTCTCAAACATTCGGCTTTGCACTTAAGTATTTAACTTTGCTGTCTACATTTTGTTCTGAACAATTTTAATGCAATTTCCATCAAATATCTGAACATATCTGCATCAAGCGACTTTGGTATGCAGGAATAAATATTTCAGGCTTTTTGCTAGAGACACAATCTACAGATGCAACAAGTACAAAGTAAGGAATAGTATTGCAGCAATAACAGTAAAATTAAAATTCAATGTGCATAAAAATATTAACATTTAGACTACAGTGTTACTAAGTACTACAAATAGGAAATAAAGTTGGAAACATGACTTGACAGTCAGAACAATTTATAGTTGGATACAAGTTTGAATACAAGGAAAGGTGCACTCAAGTGCAAGAACTACAACCCTTTGAATAAATTTGAGTATTTAGAAAGGGTAGTAGAAAAAATCACAAGTAAGGCAAGTTCTCTGAGGACAAGACAGGGTTAAAGTTAGAGAAACTTGTGCAACATCTAAGTTTTACTTTAAGATGAGAATCAGCATTTTGTTGCACACCGTGGCAAGAATCATTGCAATGAACAGGCGCATGGAAATTTGTGTGTACGAATATGAACAGCGATTAGCAAAACGGTTTTGAAATAATTTTAGCACGTGATGCTTTACACGCAATTAGTACGTTTGTTAGTTTTACCTCATTGTCACACCAAAATAACTCAGGCTGCATGCAAGAAAAGTTGTGGGAAGGAAATAGCGATTAATGGCACATTAGAACATAAATGGTTTTGTACATGTACTTTATTTGTATAACACCAGCCATCCAATAAAGTTCTAATTAGCCTTCAAGTTTTGCATCATTAACTTTGCTTTTTAGCCAACAACCAAGAAGACTACTTTTCTTCCTAAATTCCACACTGTTGACAAACCAAAACTATTTAAGCTCCTCAACAGTGTTGCAGTTGAGTAAATCACAAGTCCCCACAAGTCCATCACAAGTCCTTCAGTCTCAAGTCAAGTCACTAGCTATTCAAATGAACTGTTACAAAAGCATTCCATTGTCATTGTTCATCCCATTACTTGTGGCTAAACTTATGACTGGACTTATTATGAAAGGACTTGTGAATGGACTTTTGATGGACTCAACTACAATACTGCTCCACAATAAAACAGTTGACTCTGACAATTCTACATCAGGCTGGTATATAAGGCCAATACGAAAAACTTAGCTTTCTAAGTTACAAAATGAACAAAATTGCCAAATGAACAAAAGGTCTGCAACGCCAAAAGTTCGGCAGTAAAAAATACACTCACAAAGTCCTCGCTAGCGATCGGGGAGGGCGTGTCGTGCAGGTACTGGCTGGCAAACCGCTCGGCGTAAACAGGGGCCGACACCCTCCCGTATGGCTGCAGGGGAGTGGTTAACTCAGTTCGGTCCGGTGACAGGACCGAGGGGAGCGTCACGTAGAGGGTGGAGGCCTTCTCAGAGCGAGGTGTGGAGGGTTTCTCTGGGGAGAGGTTGTCTGGAGTGGGCAGTGGTCCTGAGTCAAAAAAAGGGGAAAACCTGGAAGCTATCAGTTCATAGAACGCCGGTGCAGCGTTCCTAAATTACAAATTTCACTCCAGAGAATTTCTTTGGCCAAGTAATATTCATCGTAATTGAAAATTGAAGAAAACACAAGTACAGTGTTCTGGGAGTAAATAACAGGTTCAAAATAATGATGTGCAAACCCGACCCGAAACCGACTTTGGGTCAGGTCGGTTTGTCCATCTTTTCAGTTGGGTTGGTTTCGGTTTTGCATTTACATTTTCAGGTCGGGTCGGGTCGGTTTAGCCATCTTTTGAAAAAAAAAAAAACTGAAATAAACTGAACCAGTTGAGAAATTCAGGTGATGCAATATTATTGACAGTCACTGTGACCGCAGCCCATTGTGTGGTGTGGCCACCGAGCGCACTATCAAGTTCCCACGGTATTTCTCCAGTCGGATCGGGACTGACAGTGAAATAGATAGATTGAAACAGTTTCCATGATACCGCGTGGTGACCATGCGTTTATTCAATAAGCACTTCTTATAGTTCGAGGTATGCACTACTTATAGTTTGAGGTATGCACTACTTATAGTTCGAGGTATGCACTACTTATAGTTCAAGGTATGCACTACTTATAGTTCGAGGTTTGCACTACTTATTTTATTCTGAATGTGCACAAACCCATGCGTTTCAATGTCCCTCCCAATGGTCTCGCCCAACTCTCCCTTCCTTACCGTTGAGGGGGTACTTGTTCATGGAGCCCATAGGTCTGCACTCGTAGTATTAAAGTTTGGATGTGTAGTTCAAGCATCAGCAACACACTCAGACACGCCAGAATTTTCCTAATTAACCCATTAGTCAAATAACCATCCCATAGCATCCTGTCTGTTACTCCTTATACCGCCTCAAACTGCCCAGCACTCAATGGTTTTATGGACTCATGGGTTAACTGAGCATTGACCTTCGGCGGAATTGGTAAAACCTGCTTTGAAATTTTAAGAATTTCTGTTTTCTTATTTCTTAAGGACTTTTCAAAAGGCACAGTAAGGTTAAAAAATAAACCAACTAGTTGAAATGATTAATTTTGACTCACCCAGTGTAAGGTCCAACGACTTGGCAGCTTTGTAGTCAAAGGGTTTGGTGGGTTTCGTACCTGGGACCAATGGCGGGAGACTCTTAGTGGACACCGAGGTTAGTTTATTCCTGACTTGGGCACTCTGGGGAACTTGGGCAACTTTCTGGCTCACTCCAGCTTTGAAAAGAAAACAAACTTAACCAATTAATGAGTAGTAACAAGTATCATGAATTATAGAAATAACACATCTCCATAATTAGCATGGTGTTTGCTCAACAACTTGTTGAGCTTAGTATGATCAACTGAGAACTAGACACATCAGGATTACATTACACATATAGCAATTCAGTCAGTAAGCAGTATTTGCTAGGCAGACATTTCAGTTCGCAGCAATATTCTGAGCTTAGCAGACCCACTAAATCTTTCCCCATCCCCACCTATACCAACAATCTCACCCCAGAATGCCTACAAATATTAATTCCTAACTTTTGGTCTTACCACTGATGGGCCCCAAGGGTGGCTGGTGAGCCATCCTACCAAACCGCCCCATCTCCTGATCAGAAGCTACGCCCTCCTCCATTGGAAGCTGCTGAGTGAGGGCGCTATACGTGGACGTGGTCATGGCCGAGATGAGACTGTCGTCCAGGTAGAATGGGTGCTTATGGCGAGCTGAGGCCGACGCTCCTGGTGCTGCTCCTACCTCAGTCTGGTTCCGCCTGGCCCCGCCCTGCAGCAGGCTCATCTTTTTGTTCTGCAGGATGCCGCTGGCAAGCAAGGGGGTCGGGGAGAGGGAGCGGTGGAGGGGCTGGTTGGTGTCGAAGTGGATCAGGGGCATGAGGCGCGACAAGAGAAGTTGTACCTTCCGTTTATCCAGGGAGTCACTAAGTAAACAAAAAATATCTGTATTTCAGAGTTGTAACCAAGTCATTTTTTTCCAAATCAAGTTAAGTCCCAAGTCAAATTTTAGCAAGTCAAGTCAAATCAAGTTTCAAGTTAAAAAAAAAATCGAAACTCAAGTTCGAGTCAGTGATTCGAGTCAACAACACTGCTATATTTTTTAAGGTGAGAAGAAATCTGAAACAGATGAGAGAGGGAACCGGTGTGCGTTGATGAAGCGTGAAAGGATAAACAAGCTGTCTCACCTGTTTTTGATGTGCACAAGTACATCCATTAAAATGTCCCTCGGTAGAGTTAGAAGCTCGGCAATACTGGACGAAAAAGAAAAACATTAATATGAAAAAAATAATTTACAAGAGAGGAAATACAGCCTTCATTCATCTAAAGTTCTTTTAGAATTGGCTTAAATGATTTTAGAATCAGTTGAGCTTTGGTTCTGACACCACCTTCAAACCTCACAGTCCAGGCTCATAGCTCTATATTTTGATAAGCACATCTTTTGATAACAAGAGAGGTGACCACCCTCAGCAAGCTAGTCTCTCATAATTGAAAAGGCCAATCTCAGGCCAATTAACGGTCAGTCAAACAGTACTTAACCATAGTTCAAGATTGTACTTGGTCTAGATTACAATTCTGTGTCATAAGCTAGCGTTATCTTACCTGTCGTCCATGTTGACCGGTTTGGTTTGTCGATGGACAGGTGGTGATCTGCTGGGATGGGTGTATGGCCGGCCTCCTGTCGGGGTGATCCTGGACGGCTTTTTCTTCTGTGAATTTAAAAAAAAAATTTGAAAAAATCTCACCCAACCAACAGTTTTGTTAACTTATCTACTATTGTTGATAGGGCTCGACAAAGGAAGGACAAAATTCAGTCCTTGCTTACCATTTTCTTTGTCCCTTTAGTCTTGTCCCTTGGGGCTTCAGGGACCATTTTGTCTGTCATGTCCTTCAAAGTGACAGGCTTAGAGACGTCATTTTGCTCATTTCTGAAAGAAAGGATTTGGATTTAGATTGAAAGGGGCTGAATTACATCAAAATTTACATATATAAAAAAAACACCCATAAACATGGTTTAATATTATTTAACCATAGCAGTCAAGTAAAAAAATCCATCATGATCGAGCCATCAGGCCGGTGTTTATCTCCCGTCGGGTTTCAGTAGCATGAAACAACTGAGAATATTTCTATTTCCCCTGATGTGATGCTAGTCTATTGCAGGTTACTCCCTGGGTAATGTAGGTACCCATTTATACTCCTGGGTAGAGAGAGGCAAGTGGGTGTGAAGTGGCTTGCCCAAGGATGCAACAAGGATGAAATTTGGAAATCTCCTGGAAATGTCACAGGAAATCATGGTTACTCATACCTTCAAAATGTGGGTAAAGATAAAAGAAAAGATGGCTGTAAATTCCTAAATGAAATTTAGCTAAAATCTGGAATGAAATTAAGAAATCTTGCATTTTGTCAATGCGGTTTGTTTGGTGATCAATTTTAAAGTACTCCAAATTGAAGATTTCAAAAGGGTAATTCCTTACGGCTCAGGAATTGGGTCCCTCTCCCTCTGCAGCTGTCTCTCATAGGCCTTCTTGGATGGGCACCAGACGTAGACCCGGGAGGGAACAAAGGTCTGCTGCCAGTCGCTGTTGAGTTCATCCACCTCAAAGAGCTCCCTCACCTCTACCGACCTGGCTTTTGCTGGTTGGTGACCCTGTGCGATGGAGGAGGGAACTGTCTGGGCACTGGTCGATCGCACCCCCAGGGGGGAGGTGTAGGGGGTGTAGGGGAACTTGTGTTTCGGCCTGCAAACAGCAATAAAACAGAGACAGTTTATTTTTCATGCTCAACTCAACAATAAATACTATATAACTACAGACAATTTGCAGAGCCTAAAAATACATGAAGTTGAGGTCCAACTGACTTTGTTTAAACCATTAAATACTATTTTGACCATGTTACAGTCTAGAACTTTCCCCAAGTACCAATATGAAAGTGTTGAGTATAGGCTGGATCCAATTTTGGGTAACACCTTTCAAATTTTAAGTGCAATGAGTATATTGATATTCAAGCTCAAATATAAGTCTGAATTCAATAACAATACTCAAATTATAATTAGGCCCAACTTACCATAAATGCATACTACGAACAGCACTGCTTTCAATAATGTCGTGTAAGCTAGTGTGAAAAAAAATGCAAATAAAAATCCCATTTTTTTATTAAAAAAACTTTTACTAACCTGTTGTCAAAATTAACAGCGGGCGCAGAGGAGCTGCGTTGGTGCTTGGGCAGCTGTGTGGTGGGGTAGTCATCAGTCGCACCAAAGCCAGACTCAGCCAAGAGATTCTGGACTTTAAGAGTCGGCAAAGCACCTGAAGAAAAATATATACCCTTAAATATTTCACGTTAAGATAATGCTGGGAATTTGCTGGTAGTCTGGGAAGCCAAACCAAACAAATTTCTGAAACCAAATCCTACTTTAAAATTAGCTCATCAAATCTTTAGTTGTACACTTTTGTTATGCCCAAACTATAACATCGCTGTCCCAACAATAGTTGTGACCATCTGGGACTCTGCTACAGTTGGGGGCAGTGCACCTTCGCCATTAGTTACTTTTAGATCCCCTTCCTATATAAGTGAATGAAAACCAATTTGTATTGTATTGATCTCACCTAAACACCTGGTGAGGGCCAGATTTAATTTTCTTTCGGATTCAAGCTCTGAAGGATATTTTCAAACACATAAGTCCAAGAACCATTCGGTTGCTAACTGACACATGTGCCAGAGGCGACTTTTGTTGAAGTAGCACCAGCAAAAATAATAGTAAATCAAAAGATATTGCAGTCATTTTTCAACACACTCTGCAAATTTCGCCTGAAAATTACAGGATAACTAGACATCTAGAGGTAGGGAATTTAATTTTCCCCAGTTACTAAGCAGGTGAGTTTCTTGAATAGTGAAAAACAAGTGAAAAAAAAAACAGTCCCAAGTTTGATTTCCTCAGCACAACTTTTCCTCACTCCAATGCATGCAGTGGTGTGAGACTCACGATACGGAGGAAGTAGCAACTGAGAAATATTTTATGGGGCTAAAACAAACCATACTCAATACCTTCATCTTCACTGGCATTCCAGGAAGTCTGCAGGGGATCCTTCAAGCGGGGCAAGCCTCTTTCAATGCGGCGGTTTGAGGCCCAGCACTGTGGGTGTTGACACAGGGGACCACAGGATGTCTCCTCCACTTGGTACTGCTTCAGGAGGTTGTCGGCTGCCATGACTGTGCTCATGATAGTTGCAGCAAAATCTCATCTTCTTGAGAATACACTAATAAAGGCTGCTTAAAAAGAACACAAGAGACAAGATTAATAAAGTTTTCAGACATTCTCATGATTCATGGATAACAATGACAAACAAATCATGGATAATGACGCACAAAGCTACATTTTGTATGGGAGCAGTGAAACAGTCAAGCTTGAAATTACTTTTTTTTTTCCAGTGGTTATCCCAAATTAACTGATTAACAATTTGCCTATTAATGTGTAGAATATAAGAGAGATTCAGTTTGCCTATCATTCAGTTATCATAGCTGAAGTACACCCGCATGCGTGTGCTGTTGACCAGAACTGAATGACAGGTAACAGCTGTCAATGCACTTTGCCAAAGTTGATTGACGCACGCTCAGTGGATGATAAAAGCATTAGCTCGAGTCTGGTTCCCCGACCTTATTGAGCTTGTGACTATTTTAGGGGGGCCTGAGGAAACAGTCTGGTAAATATCAGAGAAGCTATGCTTTTTGAAAACCGTCAGAATTCTTCCCGAAATTACCATGATAACTGAATAACTAGACTTTGAAGGTACGGAATTCAACGGGTGTAAGCACGTTGGAGAAAACTGTTTTCTTTTTCCAAAATTTTTCATAATTACTTATTCCGCATTTTCTTTGCAACTGAACTGATTACACACCTGTGAAAGGGTACTACAGGTACAAGCCTAGAAGTAGTACTAGACTGATTCTCTGACCTTACAATTCCCCAAAGTCTATAAACTGCCTTGATTCATCTTAAGTGGGGTTAGGGAACCAGACTACAAGAACATGATTGGTTTTCTTGCTTTTTCCAGCATCTACAAGTAGGCCCCTACAAGCCCAAAACGTGAAACAAGTAGGCAGTGGATATTTTGGGATGTTGGTCTGTCGTACTAGCGTCCCACTAAGGAAGTATTGTCAATGTTACAATTTCAAAGTTCACCACAAAAATCACGCAATATACTTGACGAAAATACCTTTGAAAACACCTACTGGCATCTCCACATGTCAAAGGCAAAGTAATGGGGCTTCAATGATACTCAGGATTATTTTTTGGCAGTGCATATTTTGCCAAATCCGTGAAATTCAACTACTATAGCACAGACATCATACAGCGATCATTCAATATCGTTATCTCTGTGATCTAATAACGCACTGTCTATAGTACATACAAACACGTACGTGAAGCAGGGGCCGGGACACGACTGTAACCTGTGTCAAAAAACAAACTCCGCATGCAGATCAGGGGATGAAACTATGACTGTTGTCTTGCTTTCCACGACTGCTATTCACGACAACGCACCAGACGAAAATTGAACCCACTAGCGGCGCTTGAAAGCGGTGTGGTACCCACATACATCGCGCAAGTTTTTTTTTCTGATAATCGTCACGTGATGCATTCATTTGCATAATTAAGTAAACAAGATAGACGACAGCCGTTGGAACTGAACGGTTTTTATGGACAAGCCGCCGAAATCGTCAACAAATTTCACTTCTTTTTTTTTTTGGTTCTGTTTCAAGTCGATCATTAATTGCTTCGTGAATGACTGCTGAATGGTGTGAGGTATGTCCATGGAATCTGGGTCTGGGGTGGGATTATTATACTTTTTTTATTGAACTAGGTTGGACCATTTTTGTAGAGAGTAGAGGCCCTTTTTTTAGGGTCTCTTGCTACCACACTCTACGAATAGGTTATGTCTCCAGCGCTACATCTATGCATGACATGTGAATGAATATGAGCATGTCAGCTGCGGGAGTCATTAATATTAAATTAGTATCAAGCTAGCGCGGCCCCATTTCCATGATTTCTGAAAATTGTTTGCAGCAAAAGCAAAAGTACGTTTTACATTATTACAAACCCTTTAACCTACCATTATTTCAGGATCAGCGTAGACTGGTTTCTTTTAAAATGCTTGATTAAAACTCGTGAAATGGTTTGATCCATCGGAATTATGTCATTCGACAACTACTGACTAGTGAGTGTAAGCACACTGAACTGCAAAAAGCCTCCATGTAGGCCGCCATTTTTCTCTTCCCTTAATTATTACAGTGCTATGGTAACCATAATGGTGTTTTCTAAACGAGAGAGGGCGCCCTTCAAGCATGAGCATTAAAGGAACAGTCTTTTCGTACTTCTGATAATGAGACAGATAACGACCCGTGAAAAAAATGAATTCTGCTTCTCGAATATTAAATAATGTCAAGGCTACATCTCATGAATACGAAATTTAGAGCGTTGGTAAAAAAAAAACTAAGATATTTGCAACTTTGCTTGAAGATAAGAGCAACTGCTGAACTTTGTCCTTATATTTTGAAACAAAAACGGCTGGAAAGAGTCTAGTCTGTTAGTCTTTAATACCAGCCGTACCACACGGGGGACAAAGGCTCATTAACACTGGCCGTAGTAATACGAGTTATTTAATAAACCATGATCCTTCTGGGCAAAAATTATACTTCTCATCTTCGAGCGCCAACAAACTAAGGGCGCGTTTTGACCACTTTTGCACCTTGGACGCCGGGGACACCGCGTGTACCCACCACTGATCTCTATATACAGACTGGATAGCTAATACAGAGCTGCACAATGTACGAATTTGACGCCATATTGGTGAGACCGGCTGGTGATCTACAAAGGACAAGTTGCTGTCTTTATAAACAGCATGAGTTCTTTTGTAACGTCGCGGTTCACTTGACTTATATTTTGACCACCACCACTGACCAAGGTTAACTACAATTATTCTAACGTCGTGGTTACTAAAATGCCGCAAATATAACTTTTTCGGCGTTTTGAAATAATAATCACTACGGAAATGTGTCCCTTTTAGAACATCATAATATGTGTACGTGACCAAAATGCGCGTGAACTGTTGATACAACGCGCGCGTATTTACGCGTAGAACGTTCGTATTATACGCGGCCATCTTCGTGAGACCGGGGGCGAATTGGTCAATATGCAAAGTCTACTGTGTGAATGTTGTATGCATATCCGCTATCCAGTCTTTATATAGAGATCAGTGGTACCCACACGGGACTGGTTCGCGCGCTAGTACGCACGACTTATTCTATCCTGAATACAAGCCGTATGCGATATTTTTTACACATACTCTGGGCTGGGGTACCCTGTGTACTTTCCTATAGGAGCATAAGGTTTTATTAGTCTTGAGTGGAGGCTAGTATTATTCAACTTGGCACGGATTTCTGACTTTATTTCCCTTTAAAAAAAATCCAGAGCCCTGACTCAAAAACGAAAAAGAAAATTCCTACTACACAATTAGTATCCGACTGAAAAATAGCATTTCTAAGATAATTATTACTTAAATTCGTTGAGAAAAAAAAAGCAAAACTTGAAAAGGGCAGAGCAATGAATCGAACCCGTCCGATCCGTGGACCACTGATCACGAGCCAGCATGCCTAACCAGTAGGCTACGACCATGGCTACGATGGTGTTCGACCAAATCACTCAACTACTTTCACACATAGAATACGCTAGCGACCCCCCCCCCCCAACTCCATAAAAAAATGCACTAGCAAAATGTAAGAATTTGACGTACATGGGATGGGAACGGTCTCCCCCTAAATGAGAAGGGTGCATTTGTACACTTTTAGTTAATATAGTGTGCCTGATTGTAATATTTTATCAGCGCTCCCCATTGAAAATATGGCACGAGCCCCCCCCCCCCCCCCCCCCCGACATTTAGGCCAAGTTCGGCAAGGACCATTAGTCGACTAGTGGTTGATTTGTGACGTACCTTACGTCTGCGCACTGATAGCAACGTGCGAACGTCTCTAGTCAAACGCTGGTCAAAATGTCATCGCAAAACTTCTGGATCCTGGTTCTCTGCTAGCGTTATGAATGCGCGCGGCTATTGGTTACCAGCGATGCAACCAACCCCAGTAGACTGGTTCCAAATTGTCGACTAGCGTACTCAACCACCGTCGACTAGACAGAGTTCGGGCAAACGTTAGTTAACCATTGGTCAACTACAGTCCTTGTGCGAACTTGGCCTTATAGCTGCTGGTTGCACGTTGACGCGCACCGTTCCTTGTGTGTGACGCACGTACACCAGGGTATGTGTATTATACACGCAGTGGTACGGCCGCGCGCGTAATTTTATTCCTAGGAGGGTTAGGGGCAATGTCATGAATAATTCATGTTTATCCATGAGAACGGACAATGACATCAACAGCAAGGGTTAGTAGGGACTGTTCCAAAACAAAACCGGCTGGAGTATAAGTTTACCTAGAAGCGGATGGAACAATAAGTACAGGTCTTCCTGAGTATTCCCAAAGCGGTGGGAGAAAGCATGAAGCTATCGTAGATGTTGACCTGCTACATACAGTTTAGTCATCAGGCCTGTGCAAGTAACTCAAAACACGCTTGCTAAAACTGGATTTGTAGGGCCGGTGTGGCCAAGGGCGTTTTCATTGTCAAGGGAAACAGCCGTTGGGGTCGTGAGGTAATTGCGAGGTCACAGCATATGAATCATACATAAATAGCTATATAGTGAATATACCAGGGTGCAAACTACAACCTTTTGATAAAAAAAGGAATATTGAAGTTTATTTCCGAGCGTAATCATCTTCCTTTACATTAACAATAATACTTTCTATACAATATTTTATGTATCAGAAACCCTCAGGCTGAAGTTAGTCACCATGATAATGAGTATAATTAAAAGCACAGATAAAAGATAGATTTGCATTATTGCATGTTATAAAGAAACAGATTCGAATTAAATTTACAGTGTGTTCTTAAGTTAATAGTAAGCTAAAATTTACTAAGCATTTATTATAAAAGACGGCCGTAAAAGGGGATATGATATGTGAACATTATTAGCTGATAAAGTTCCGCAGGGACCATAAAATGCCAACGATAATTAAATGCAGAGCTCGATAATCTATACAATTTTCACATGATATAAAGAGTAAATGTAAGTTTCCAAGCTTTGTTTTCACAAACAATACAAATTCAATAAAATACACATACAAAACGTATTATAAAATAATTAAAAATATATAAAATGTATTATTACCGACAATGCTCTTTGTGGTTTTAACAGCAGTAGTGAAAACAGCAAGATGTTGACGGTAAGGTGTTGCACTGATCTCCATGCCATCTAGATATCCCTTGGCTGTACCAAGGGAAGTCATCGTCCTCCATGTTACCACTCCCTAAAACATTTAATCCGGCGTATTTACTTGCCACGTTTACTTTGTATTATAAAAAAGCCAGACTATTTTATACCAACTTTCATTTAAACTTAAAAACTGTATGATACAGTTAAAGACATATCTCGTTTACTTTAATAGCCTTTGTTTTTAAACATGAAGGGCAGTGGTGCTGACCGGCATCGATTAGGTCACGAGACAACAGAGGGCGCTAGATTCATCACTGTAAGGAGGCCTTCAAATTCATGTGAAATCCATCATATCGGCACTTTCGGGGGTTTATTAGAATGATTACATTAGCTGAGTTTTCATTCGTTTAATTTGAGTGCATGAGTAAAGATAAGCCAACGGTTAGAAATGCGGACTTCCCTATTAAAAAATAAATTAGGTTCCATATCTCAGTTTTCTGTAATAGTACCTCTAAAACCTCACTGCTTCTTTTTTACTCCTTTTTCAGTTAAAACAAAGGGTTTAAACGTTCAGCAATTCTTTTTTAAATATTATCCATGCATGATGTCCCGAACGCAAGATATTTTGCTCAAGTGTTACACACAACTCGATCATGAGAACCAAGATGATTGATGAAAGAGACACAAAATAAACTCTACGTTAAAACAATTATTATGTCGAGTATAAAGGCCAACACACCGGGGAACCCGTTAAGGTGGAAGCATCAAAATACCTCGGATATGATACAAAGAAACATTCAATGCACTGTTTCTCAATTTGTTCAAAACGTAATTCAATTTCATTGTTCATAAAAGTCACAAGTCCGGACAAAACTATTGCGGTCGAACTCATGGAAGATCAGCTAGGTTCTTTTTGGGAGGGACACCTGTCGGCTGTTCTTTTCCCTTTTTCTTCTCTTCGAACATCAAAATGCTGAAAATCAAGAGAGAGAAAAAGGAAATTAATTTTCAAAATGAAACATATACAAATATATGCTAGCTATATGCAGGAATCAAGCATACAACACAAATGTCGTCAGTTAACTGTTTTGTGGGCGTATAGTAAGAGATATATTTTACGACGGCCATTTTTAAATTCTAGATGGTTGTTGCATGCCTCTATGAGACTTGACATTATTTCAGTGCTGGTGTTCGAGTCCAATTTCCGGATGGAGTCCGGAAACTTTGGTGCAACAATAAAACACTCGTATTTGTTATGCAGACGCTTGTAGTTTATTACAGGAAGTCTCATTTCCCGTGTGTGACGCGCGTCACATTGTGTAGTGTAAGTGATACATGTGCTTGTGTAGGTATTTGATGATAAGGAAAGCACAGCAGAAAGTACTGTTACTATCACACGTTGAGTAACACTAGAAAAACAAAACAAAATGCACACGGCTATTGAATGAAGAATCATGTAGTGGTACAAAACATAGTTTCACATTATCCTCGCCTTGGAAAACGCACTGTACACTATTCTCACAATCATTCGGGACAACATCGAGTATACAGTGTTGATCAAAATACGTCGGTGGGGCAAAACCCAACGCAAATCCTATTTTATGATTAGCACTGAAACTTCTTATTATACAATCAGCACGTGCATTATTGAAATCAGAAGGCGATTATAAAACAACCAACTTTTCAACATTAAATGTCAGGTGCACATTCAGTATACATTTGGGACCAAGCAGAAAATCCCTATCTTCGTAAAGACAAGCGTTGAAAAGATATTTATTTCAGGAGTTGTACTTCTCCTTCACATAAACAGACGTTCAACTTCATACGATCAACTTTCAACGTACTGTTCACTTTTAAACCCATGCGTTCAACGTCAAACGCAATAAAGCTTTCGACCTTAAACGCATGTGTTCCGGTACTCACATTTTGAGGACGCTGTTCTTTTTGCCCAGCATCATCTCGATGAACTCGTTGTAGTTGATGGTACCCGAGTGGTTGGTGTCCACCTCAGCAATCATCTTCTTCACCTCCAGGTGGTTTTTGGGCTGTCCCAGCTTCTCCATCATGTACGACACGTCTTTGACATCTAAATAAGTAAAAAATAGCGCCAAAACTGACAACGAAATCTGCATGCAAGGGCGGATCCAGAACACAATTTTTTTTGGGGGGGGGGGGCCAAACATTTTTTTGGACCCCCAAAAAAGTGGGTCAAAAAAATTACGGCGTGGGGTTCGGGCCCGCTTAAGGGCCCCGAAATTTTTTTGGATTCTAGATGCTCTGTGGTGCGATCTGAGGCAATTTCTGACCACTTTAACCAATGTTTTTTTGAGGAAAAGATGGTGGTGTACTCATTGCCTGCCTTTATTGCGATGTAACATAAAAAAAAATTGGTCTCGTTTGGGGGGGGGGGCATGGCCCCCTTTGCCCCCCCCCCCCCGGATCCGGCCCTTGTCTGCATGATACGAAATGCATGGACAAAATGTCAATAGTTTCGATCATGTTTTATGACAAGACAGAGAAAGTTGTTCGTTCTTGCAAACTCTCTGCACGCCAGTACAGTCATTAGTATTGACACGGTAGGGCCTAAGTAGTGAAAAATGCAAAGCATGAAGAAACCTAACCTTATGCGAGATGCGAACTATCAGTTTTTATATGACTTTTTAATTTTAATAATTATCTTACCGAGGTCTCCGGAATTATCCAGATCGTACTCGATGAACTTGTCTGAAAAGAAGAGGAAACAGTTGGAAATTTGAAATAACAGACAAAACAAAACACTCAAATGATTATTCCACAAGAACGTCAGAGCAGTTACCTTGCTCCTTCCATAATCACGATGCTAAAATTAATGCGTTACATAGGGACGCCGTTTGATTACCAATGTGTACTTACTAAAAATGTGTTGTACTTCACATTTCTCTAAAATGACAGCCAGACAAGCCAAAATTCTCCCATCTCGGTGGTTTCATTGTTGCATAAATTTGCAATGATTCCAGGCAACGTGCTAACAACATCAACATGGAGTTGAATCTCATTTCAAAGCCACGTGGCGTAATAACTTTAAAGTCCCGTCGAACGCAGTCGGCCAGAAATTTCTCATTTTTCCCCCCACGCAAACTGCACGCAGAAACGACAGCTGGCGATGTGTTTCATGTGCTGGGGATCAATGCACTAAAGCGTGAATACGACTTTAAATACGTAACCTAGTTATCCGCGTTTACTGAAAGTAATTTGGTAACTGGTGTTTATCAATGCAAATCCCATAAAGAACTCACTATAATTATAATTTTATTCAACTTGTCAATTGGTCAGATGAATTATATGTATACAGGGGCTTATCGCACATTTCTGCACATGGAATATTCCTGCACACTTAAATTTATCCTAGTTATATCGCCCTATAGTATAGCACAGTTTTTGCATGGGTTTCAATGCAAAACTGACACTTCAAAGTTATACAAATAAGTAAAGGTCTCTTATAGTTCATCACTTGTTTTTTAATGGCCGCTTTTCTTCGGCTGAAATGATCTCGGCAGCCGAGAGATTCGCGCCGTTAATTTTTACGACCGAGTGTAAAATTTCAAGAGGTTCTTATATCAAAATAATGCCGAACAAAGTAAGTCACGGTCAACGAGATGTTCATTTTTTTTATTATAATATTAATAAGAACATCGACGTTACACTGGTTCGTTTAAAAATGCAAATGATAGTTCAATTTTGGAATCGAAAACACAGCCAACATTAATTTTCTACAAAAATTATATGCCGTATAAGAATATAGCATTTATACATAAAGTAAACTTTTATAGTGATCGTTGTTGGCGAAGGGGGAAGGGAAGGGGAGGTGCTTACAAAAGAAGCGGGGAACAAATTTAAAGGGGAGACAAAGTGGGTGTGGCAGCTTCATGGCTATACTATTATAGAAAAGAGAGAACTTAGGGGGTGGTAATTAACCCAAAGAGGGAAAGCCTGGGGAATTCTGGAACAAATGACACGATGGAGGATTTGAAAGATTAGTCATTCCCTTCAGGGATTTTGAGGCCATAAGTATGGTTTGTATAGCACGAAAACCGTCATCCACACAACTTCGTCCCAGTGCTTACTTTACCCCAACACGGTTTCCAATAGTAAACCCTGGATAGGAAACTTTCTTCCTGTATATACAGCAATTGGCTAGTAATGGATTTTTATCGTGTACTTGGTGTTGTTATTCACAACGTGCAGTACGTGTTTTCGCGATCATTCGTCCACGCCTTCTCGAAAATATTAATTTCCATTCCAGTTTGTTAATATTAATATGAAATGTGATACTGCATATTGTTTCGTTAAGATCGTAACAGTTTAATTGAATAAAAATCGTGTTTTCGTAACTCACGCCATGCTCGCGCTGCTACGAATTGACTCTGTTTTTACCCAGACACCGCATACAAAAAGAAACGCTAATGTAACGCACATGCAGGCACCAGACTATTCCTCATTTGCATACGTGTTCAAAAATCTTGCACATGCAAATGATCCAATACCAGGGTGAGAGAGCAGGTAGTGATGGGCGCGTACTGCTCGACACCCTGGGTACGAGGTTGTCATCCACACTGCTTCCCATTCCCCCTCCTTGGTCCTTTTCCTGAATCCTCTCAATATACTTTTTGTCACTTGATTGTCTGTTTCTAAGCCTAACCTTTTGATTTGTACATTTCATGCGAGTAAGCCAAGTCAGTAAGCAGTTTGCATTAGTTCTGTTTCTTTTTTGTTCATTTATAATAAAAAAACACACCCACTAAAAACACATCGGCAATGATCAGCAATACCTTTGTAACTACTGAGTCTTTCCTCAAGATCTTCATACGAGCTGTAATCACCATTCTTAACGATTTCCTGCAATGGTAAGAACGACAAAAATTGTTGATGATTGCAAAAGTGTGGCATGATGGTTGTTGCATCATGGTCATAGTTAATGTACAATATCTTGAGAGAAAGCTAATTATCAAACTTGCTGTTAATGTGAGCCTCAGCCTCCTGAGTAATGGTTTTAGGTTAGCTGGATTAGTCTGCAGTCTGATATCCTTTGCTTTTTATTAAAACCAAGCTTTAATAAAAACGATGACTGATGTTCTTCACGTCTGGAATACGTCTAACATCGGGCTATTTTAATAGTGACAGGGCGAATTTGTGCGCATAATCATTTTTTTTAAGTGACGTCGCAATAAAGGCAGGCACTGCGTACACCACCATCTTTTCCTAAAAAAATATTGGTCAAAGAGCATCTACAATCCAAAATAAAATCGGGGCCCTTAAGCGGGCCCCGAACCTCACGCCGTAATTTTTGGGACCCACTTAAAAATCTTTCCCCTCCCCCCCCCCCCCAAATTGTGTTTATAAAAATTGTAAAAACCACCCCATGCATGAGAAATTGGTGTATCAAAGGGTCAGGGCACCAAGCTGAATTTGTTGCATATGTACATTGACCAGAGGGCACGTAGTAAACGCAGCCTGGAAAGGTTACAGGAAGTGACCCCGCTGTGTGTGCTCTCTGTGACAGGTGTGAAACATCCTTTTCATTTATACAGGGTGAGTAAAAAAAGCAGAACCCAAACCCCAAAAATTATATTTCACATTTACCAAAATATGTAGCACCAAACATAATAATGACTGGAAAGCCAATTTCATAAGCTACTTTAAGATGAAAACAAATCCTGCAATTGCTTTATCCGTTCAAAGAATATCACAATTTTAACACAATGACCCTAAAACCTCTTTCGTCCAAAAATGCGATTTCAAGAATCGTCGTCACAATTGTCTTCAAACATTACCAGCGATAAAACCGCAGTTTAAAAGTTAAAAAATATTCAACTTATAGTCCTTTTGAAGGCACGTCTTTAAAAAAGAAGAAGTGGATTTTATAAATCATATTGTTTGCCTAACCAGGGTTGTTAATAAAGATGATGTGCACTACAGTTGTTGACAGTTGTTGAAACAAGTATTCTGTGTCATTTTCTTTGTTGTTGCAAACAGTCAGAATACAGACTAAACTGCTTTTTTTTACGAAACAGGTTTAGGGTCATTGCGTTCAAATGGTGATATTCTTTGAACGGATTGAGCAATTTCAGTAATTTTTTCATCTAAAAGTAGCTTATGAAATTGGCTTTCCAGTCATTATTATATTTGGTTCTACATATTTTTTTAAAATATGAAATATATTTTTGGGGGTTTGGGTTCAGCTTTTTTGACTCACCCTGTATCTTGCATTATCATGAAAAGATTGTATCCGACGTGTATCGATTACAGGAAAATCTCTCATTAAATTTTAGGCCTATATAGAAATCCTTGCATGCTTTCATAAAAGTAGTCTGGTTCCCAGACCAAAAGATTCTGACTATTCCCGATGAATATTAGGTCAGGTAACCGCTAGTAATACATTGTAAATCAAAACACCGTCACGTGACTAAAACGGGAGGAATGTCTCCCGTTTCCGAAAATGACCGAAGTTTGCCGATTGTATTTCGTCAACAATCTTGGATAGCGCCCAGGTATTTCAGAGTATAACATGGGTTTTATTTACCCACCTTGCTTATTAAAAATCTAAAGACTGAGTTCATAATAAATAGTAATTACTTGCGTTTAGAAAACTTGAAATTCAATGACCGGATTTTGTGCATCATTATGCACACGGATCGTACGAGGGGCGAGCTTTGATGCGCCATGTACTATTTTGAATCTGACGACGGTTACCGGGATTTGCCAAAACTCGGCGTGGTCTCCATTTGGCTTCTCCTGCTTAGTGCTACATGCGGGTCCGTAACTTTTAAGATTTCAGGTCAAAATTAGTCATGGTTTTCTTACAAAAATAAGAGACTGTAGTATGTAATGGAGCAAGTGATTTTTTTTTTAAAATTTGATCGGAACGTATAAAGGCTATAAATGATGAAACCAAATCGGAAACGAAGCCGAGCTTTGAAAAAGGGCCGTCAATGTCGTCATGTATATTATTTTTTATCCGCGGTTACTGCCTGACCTTTTTAGACGTGGACGTCGGGAATAAGCAGCTCTGGGAACCAGACTATCATATAAGCACAGCTAATCCTTGTTCAATAAATATGCACTCTTCAACATTTTAAATGTACATATTTAGCATTTGTCTTTATACTTCATGATAGTGGAATATAAAAACCCCAAATGGTATAAGGATTTATAGATACCGATGTGAAATTTAGTAAATAAAAAAAAAATAACTTTGCCAACAAACGAACTAATTTAGTTCAATAAACCAATCGGTAAACACAATCGAAGCCTATTTTACCCAACGTAATGCAACAGCAACCCCGTTGGGAAGTATTTTTTAATTAAACAAACCCTATTATTTGTATTTTAAAATATTCAATATGGAGACTATAGATTTGAATGAGTGTATTACCTCGTTAATGATTCCTAAGGCCTCTTCCTGATCTTGTTTCAGCTTTCCCCAACTTTTCCCACCTAGAACGGAAAAAGTATTTGACATTTTAAAAATGTGAAGAAAAAAATCTGAACGAGGAAAATAATACTTGCACCGAACGTTTATGCAGAATAGAATATTAAAGGCACTAGGATCATTTGTTTTTTTTATGGGTTTTGTCCATTTTTAATAAAACGCCACTCAAAATCTAATGAAGAATGTTCAGAAACTATAATCTGTAGGGAGTTTTAGCTCAGTGGATATAACAGTTTCCGAGAAAACAATGCATATAGTCTTTTGATCACGATTTTGTCAATAGCACTCGATTATTCCAAGAATCGGTCAATCACCTACATTTCTTGATTCCTTCTTCATGACAGCAAACCTGGCGGAATATTTCACGGGGTGTTTAGTATACCTAGTACAATCTTTAGTCAATTCAATTCAATTCAATTCAATTCAATTCAATTCAAAACTCACATTTATTTCCATACCAAAATGAGAAATACAAACATAGAATACACGATTAAGTACATAAATCAATAAATAGAGTTTGTCAAAATGGTAAAAATATATAAAGGTATGGAGGCATCTTCTGGAAGCCTAGGCTTGTGGCGAGATGCCTTGGACGGACAAACACAAAACAGAAACAAAAACAAGTATACACACGACAGTTGGACCGCACCGAGACAGAACCTTAGCATGAAATTTATAAACTAGAACAGAACGTAAATGTATTAAGAGAGAACAAAAACAAACAATTGCTGAAAAACCAAATGAGAAGCAAGCTGGAAGCTATATTACATTTGAGAGATGAGAGCTCTCTTATGCATGTTTGAAGCGACCCACAGATGAAAGAGATTCACCCAAACCTTTTTCATAATAATTCGGTAGGTTACTTTTGGGATATTGCAAATGATCCCATATGCATTTAAAGACAATACAAGATAAGAACATATAATTTGGATGGGCATGCACTGTTGGCGGAAGCGTGCAATACACCCGAAATTTTCCATTTTTGATGTAGTATTAGCACTGAAATTCTAACTCTTGATCAAGATAAGAGAAACCTCTTTTTTTCTCGAATGTTGTGGAGGAAATGTCATTAACATAATAATAACATTGGCTTGTAATTTTCTGGACACAAATAAAAATGGTAGTACCAAGTAGTAATACCATCCGTCAACCTGTGATACCCATCTGTCAGGAAACAGTTGCTGGTTTATTTCTGAGTTTCCTGTTTGTGCCAATGGATCGGAGCCACGCTGTGCGTTGCTACCAAAATATTCAGCCCCTTCCCATCTGGCATCGATAAAGAAAAAAGTCGCACAATATGCCGAAATCATCTCCCTAAATTCAAAACTTCGCTCTAGGACTACATGTGGTGGACGGCATATGATATTGCGCTGATATGCGATAGCGGCTGTTGCAATATATACGTGTTAGGGCTGGGAAGTCGATCGACAATTGCCACATATAATTGTGGATTTTCCCCCATTGGTTTCAGAAATACATTCGGGTCCTCAACTACTATATAGTCATAAATATGAGAACTCGATCTTCAAAAAGATATACTCCAAACATTACGCATAAAAACTTAAAACAATAAATACCACTCGTACCGTAATAGGTTACTTTTAAATTTTATGAACAACTAACTCAACACTAAATGAATATGAAACTATCACTTCAGAACTACTGAGTCATTTTAAATATGATAATTATTTATTACCTAGTCTTATATTTTATTTTGTTTCAGTTGTGGTTTTTAATTCGTGTTTGTTTACATAATTTTTGAACTTTATTCCTAAGTTTTTTTTATACGTATAGCTTGTGTATTTTCGGATTCTGTAAACATATTTCCTCTTTTTTATTTTCTTTTTCACAATACACACACAAATTCCTTCCATATCTGGTCTGAAATGAAATCACTCCAACATCCATACTATTATTGTACGGTCGCCTGTAGTAGCTTTATAGAAAAGCCATTGTACATTTAATATTTGACTCAAATTAAAGCGATAATATACGACCCTGGATAAGTGGGCCCATACTTTGTATTCTAGTATCACAGTTCAGGTTTCATACGCTTGGCTGATGTTGCAAAAGAGGAAATTGTACACCCAAGGTCGGTACGCCAACATGATTTTTCCCTCGATGGTTGGGGAAGATTAAAACGTTCAAGAGACTTCCGTATTCGCATCACAAAATGCAATATCCCTCCCTTTTGGCATGAGATATGATTAGGGACATATTATGCTGGTGCATATGTGGAAAACCCGTTCCTCTGCCAATTAAAATTCATATACCCTATTCTTTTCCTACTCGTCAATCCTCACTGATCTAAATCCAATGAAGGCCAAGGGTGCGATTCAATTAATGTAATGGATATCATGAAGGGCATGCAACTACACAGGATATTAGTGCTATCATATAGTGGAAGGTTTAGTCTGTCACATTTTCTTGTAATTAATCCAAGATTAATTTCAAGAAAAACGCACATCTTATGGATTTTTGTCAGTGTTCCATTTTGTTCTTTGGAATCCATGTATATATAAGGCCGTCGAGGACGTGATCGAACCAGACTTACCCCCAGTTTACTCAGTGCTCCATAATTAAACACACAGGTTTTTGTCGTGAGCTTTTTATGGGTTACATATACATGTACGTGCCCCTTCCTTGTACTATTATTTGACGCACCCAACACATTCCTTTCAGTTTCAGGACTTTAAAAATCCAACCAACAAACTTTTTCGACGATGAAAACAATTGGATGAATTATAATTTACAATAATTTACATGTTACCATTTCACACCTTTATGATGGAACTATACATAATTAAAAACGTACGAGAAGCTTAAGCAAGCCTTCCTCCATGCACAAAGCGAGCATTGCAAGCACTTGCAAGCTGAGCATAGTAAATAAAGGCTTTGCCATATTATGAAGGCTTAAAAAAATACAGGATCAAAAACATTTTTATCTCTTTATAATTGTTATTTACCCTGTTTGTCGGTGTGGTCCACTTTCGTACTCGGCATTCTTTCTGGTTTTCGCAACAAAAATGAGAAGAAATACACTCCGAGCTGTAGATACTGCCTTGACCTCGACCGCAGACTGTCACACAATGGAGGCGGACACCTTGCAAGAAACTCGATCACCGGTGAGGTCTTCAGGAGGGAAATCCCGTCAAAAACCTGTCTGTCCAATCGATCACAAATTTGAAAATTCCAACCTAGAGGCAGCAGATGCTGAGTTTGGTTGTGTTGACGCCCTATGGCTGTTGGTTATTTATGGCGGTTTGTACACGCAAGGCACCTATCCACAATTTGTTGGCAGCTACTTCCTTCTATTTCAGTTCGACCAAAAAAATGGCTCAGTATCAGGGTGACCGTAAGGTAATGGCAAAATTCTGCTAGATGCACTTCAAACATCTGCTAGATTTAACAAAATCTGCTAAATCACCTATTATTCAGTGGCGTAGCCACCAGGGGGCGTGGGGAGACATCCCCCCCCCCCCCCATGTAACCTTGTCGCCCCCCCCCCCCCCAGTCCCCCCCCCCCCACTGAGATTTTGAGTTTCTAAAAAAATTATCATTGATCTACATGACGCCCTCCCCCCATGAAATGTTCCAGCCCCCCCCCCCCAGTGCCCCCCCCCCCCCCCCCCCCCCCCCCCACTGAAAAATTCCTGGCTACTATTACACGAAATACATTATAAACACTTATACAATGTAATCATATGCCTGGCTTGCAATGGTCTAAAGTACTTTACTGTGTACCATTACACGTCAGGGAACCTCAAATTAAAGCTTTTTCAAAACTAATCAGCATATTATTTTAAATCTGCCATAATTTTCTGTCAGATCACCAATTTCACAGAATTCTGCTAGAAATCTGCTAAAAAAATCATTCTGCTAATGTTCTGTCAAACTCATTTTTTTTCCGAAAAATTCTGTCAAATTTAGCCGAAATTCGGCTAAAACGGTCACCCTGCTCAGTATATTGTGGACTGGCACGACAGGAGGTTTCCTTGTTTGGGTTCGACCACTTTATAATAGGGGGTATAGTGTCTCAAATAGTGTCTCATTATCTTATCCCACTCTCCCGTGTTTAGGGTCCTGTCAAATGTGTTGGTTTTCAGAGGGGTAAACTCTGCATGAAAACGTTTCATTTTCAAGAATGGTCGATGATGGAATGAACGTGAATATTCGCTAACACTCCTATTTTACACAATGGTCGAACCTTTCAACACCTCGTAGTCTCGCACGTTTGTCGTTCGGGCATGCGATTATAATTGAAATTGTGTGAGTCACCAAATCGTTTCCTCAGGTTCGGCGCGAGTAGGTAGGTACTAGACGTAAAAACAGCCGCCACATGGCCGTCACTTTCGCTAATTATTTATTAAGTGGGCCTGGCTAACTGGCTACACTTTGCAAACAGTGGATACCAAAACAACTGGAATATGTGATCGATTTAAGGTAATGGAACCTAAAATCAGAAATACATGGGGAGATGTAAAACATTTTTTATTAAGATATATAGGCCTACGTCATATTATCTACCACCGATAAGTGAAAAATCAAAATCAAAATTAGAATATGTTGTTAAGTCCTGATCCTCTTTATTATACAGAAGAGAGGATTTTCGAACATGTAAATAATTAGTTTGGAAAGAAAAGAGAGTTAACCCTTGATGACCCACCATCGATATTTCGCTCAGTAATTATAAGATGCGACTGCCCCTTTAAAGTGAAACTTTTCTTGATTAAAAACAACTGAGGGCGCTATTCACAATCACAGTTTCTGCAGCAAGCCCATAGACATAATAAAACCTATGAGCAAGCCGCGGCGTGTGGTGGTCCGTGCAAGCGCACCCAGGAATAATCACTAAGCAACGTCGCACGCTATGTGCGTCATGAATAATTACCTTTATTACGAAAAGGGTCACGTACGCAAACATAACAAAGGGCAAAGGATTCGGCGCGCCAACATAGTACAGTATTGGCGCGATATTTTTTTTGTTGATGCGTGCGCCGGCCGGCGCGGCCGTGCATACGCATGCACCGCACCATACACACTCGTCAGTAGAAAGCCGGTGAATGGACACGGTACGGGTCGAGGCTGCGGCTGGAGTAAAATGCTGTCTGTGCTGTGAGGCCACGAGGGAAAGTGTCCGCGAACGAGATTTTGTGGTGCAATATGAGGCTTTGAGATTCACTCGGTATGCAAATCAACACGATTACGAGTTATGTAGGCTTGAAATTGTGAAGAATATCGGCAGCTTGCGGCCGTGCATGGTTCGCCATCACATCAGTCGTCTGTAACGAAGAGGAATATACTCTGCCAGTGCCAGTACGGCTATAAATTCACGCATTGAAGGTAGGCGGAATACCTGTTGTTGGTAGCAACATGGAGGTAGGAATAGATTGCATGTAATGTTTTGTCGCAAATTCAGATTATTGGTGAGCGAATACATGTATTTCATTGTGTCACATGCTACTTTCCAATAGAAAATTCGAAAGAAACCCATACTGCAGGGCGCTCACAAAACGCTACATTCAAATTATCCGGCTGAAACTAGTGAAAGGTTAATTGTGGCCGGCATAAACTTGCATGACACGAGAAGTATTTGTTTGGATTGCAATTTGCAGAAAAAATAATACAATGTAAAAAATAACATTAAAATTAAACACACGGAAATTTATTAATTTCTCATTGTTAGTCGGGTGCATACGTGTAATTTTTTTCAACATGGGTTGGTGTTTTTGAATTTGTATGGATTTATACAGGATTATCCATTGTAGGCCGTATAGACACAAATTATTATCCGTGGTCAAATTAGCGTGTCATTGAATCGTGCCATCATTTGTTTTTGTGCCCATTTCCTGCTTTATCACTGATTAGTATTACCGATTGCAAAAACAGGTTGACAGGTCCTGTCAGTGTCAGCATCATTGCTGCGTATGTGGACATTGGTCTCCATTTATTTGTGATCATTGTTTTCAGCATTTTTTTTTCATAACTCTTCAACTCAGTCTTGCAGCAGCAATATTTTTGCTAAGCTCCGGCACCTATCGCCGACAACGGCAAAAATTAATTGCTTGTGACTTGTTTTCGGCTGCTTGATTATAATATTATAAGCACATGCTCCATTGCTGAGTAATACAGCTCCACGACTGGTCGCGATTCCGTGCTTGACATGGGCAATGACGTACCGTTGTGACCGCTTTACATTCCCGGCAAGCTGCCCGTGCCTTGACCCGTTCAAGTGTACTCGAAAAATGTTGTCTCATTTGCTGTTTGCCATGAAAGGCAAATTGGGTTTGTCGACCCGGGACACACTGATCAAGGCAAAACATACAATGTATATAGAGTGGCAAGCACATGTACACAATTCGTGAAAAGACTGCACATGACTCTATAAAGCCGAATAATGTTCACATGTAAAGGGCCTATGCAATGTATTTTTTTTTTAATGCAATCCTTGAAAACGCACATTTGTGTCCCATTTAACCTTACTTTCGATTCTTGTTTTGCCATTGTCAATGGTATTTTGGTGCCTTTTTGGTTTTTATGCTAAATGCGAATTTCCATATTCCCGAGCAAAAGTGTGATGTACAGTCAGAAACCTCCATGTTACAGTTCTTTGAGCACCAAAAGTTGCCACTGAAATGAGCACCAAAAAATGAGCAAACTTTTCTCACATGATAAACTGAACAGAGCCTTCCTGAAATGACATCACAGCAACAGCCCCCTCAGTTGTCTGTCAAAGCAAAGACAATTATAAATGTTTTAAGAAGTGCAATTTTCAATAAAATAAACCAAAAGGGGTGTCAAATACGTCCAAGAGGAGTAGAAAGTTATACAAAATATTTTCCTCAGAAAAACTCATTTCGTGGACCCTTTAACTTTAAGGCAACCATTTAGCTCAAGCCTCAGTGGAATGTACATGTGCACATCTTGAAGACCATACAGGTGCAACTCTGTATTAAAATTCCCAGTCCTGAGCTAAATGCCCATACTTCAAACTTCTTTTTAAAATACTCAGAACTCTCACAGGTATTTAGCTGCACAGAAAAATGATGTTCAACATGTCATCTTTCATTTTCTTTTCATTTTTTGGTGGGTTGACCATTGACTTTGCGAGAAATTCTCAACAAAAGAAGACGACCCCTAATTTTCTAAAAGCGGAAAAGTAGCCATCTTGAAAAACGATCCCTCCACAACATGGCGAAATAGTGCCACTTTCGAGCCCAATTGAATCTAAAACTGCTCAGAATTGGAAGCCCCGAGTCCGGGCCAGAGGTTCATTGCCATATCTCTTCAATTCCCCAATTTTATGGCTCTCAGAACTCTCTAATATAGAATATTTTGAGGGTATAACTTTTATATATGAGCTCGGCGGATGAGTTTAGGCCTATTAGGCCTGGACGAAGCGCGGACATGCTGGTATGAAGATAGTGCTGAATTCGTATAATCCATTACGTTTAATGCCCAGTATCTTTTTGCCTTTCCCCCATAAACAATTCGCCCATAATTCGCCCCAACGTTTTGTGCGTCATTGTGCTTGCAAACAAAACCGCGAAGAGATGGCGATATTTACAGGGAAAACGGTGCGTGTCGTTTTGACAAACAGCCAGAGCAAATATTTTGGCACTGCATGTTCATCTGTTATCAATCATTGTAGTCTAACAAATCGTAGGCACGTCAAGCGGGCGTATTAAAAGCTAACAAATTGTCAAAATGATGATGTTATGAGGGTACCATCGTCTTGGGTCATGATGTATTTTTTTTTACCAGACTTTTCACTTTAAGAGCTGGTCCCTGTATCTTTGGAAAAGAAATCTATGCTAGAATCGAATTCTTATGAACTTTACCATTCAGAGACAGCTTCGCAACATATTTCTGCCAGGAAAGAAAACCTATCACTGTCAAAATATAAAGGCAATACATGCATGCCCCAATGATGTGTTAATCTGAAATGAAAGAGCCGTATAGACAATTTGCTTATTGTAGCCTATTCTCTAGTTCCTAAGGATGGATGATGCAAATTTTCATGTTTCAAAATGAAGTCCAGTAGTTTTGACTAAAGCTTAAATGACTCATCTTCGATTAAAGAAGGTCGGACAACAAATTTTCACACACCACTGAGTTGTCATATAATAAGCAGCAGGGGCTGGCACTAACAAACTCATCAAAAGAATATTTCTAGATTTTCGTTGTTTTACGAGGATAAAAATGAAGGCAACATACAGCACTCGTGCAGCAAAACCTAAGGTATCAGCGAGGCTGCATATATCTCCCGCAAGTGACCTTGCAAAGGCTTGCATCTATCCTGGCCCGTCGTCGACGTTAGTATTTTTTACTTTCAGGTCATCATCGTTTGGATGACGAATTCAAACAACATTGGGCAATGCCATGCAGATGCTGTTCCGCTTTTTGAATAGGATTATAATATTCCTCCCGAAGATGAGTTATGACGTACACAATCATGTAATACGCGTTTCACTTTGACTCAGCTCAGTGAATTACCAGGGGTGGCATACCGTCCCCAGATTGACCCCTAACCAATCATTTGTCTGGCCGACTATAGTAAAATGGTAATGACCGTGGGCCGCCACATTTTGTGGGGAGACTTGTCATAATGAGAAAACGATTTGTTAGGGACTTGGCCACTCGGTAATTACGTGCGACGTACACCTGATAACTTTGAAATCCATGTATTTGTGTCAACGAAATGATTTGACACTTAAAACTACCCCCTTGAGTGATTTATTAGGAACCTTCCTCAATCTTGCAAAATCCAACACGTACCATTATGGTAAAAATCGACACACAAGCTGTTGGACTCTGATTATGGTGCATGCCTAACTCCATGTAAAGCATAATCAGTTTACCAGTGCAACAAATTCCAACAGTTGTAACTGGATTTTGAATATACATTTTTGTACCACATAACACCATACATATACCTGGATATTTTGCGAAGAAACATCTGGATCCTCCAAAATTCCCCACTCATGTAGAAACCAATGACAAGTTCTCCGTGCATTAAATTTCAAGGGACATCAAGCTCCATGTGCACCAGTGGCTCTATCTTCCTTAATCATGCAAAATCCCCCAAACCCCACTGGTGGATTGTGTAGGTTCAGTGAAGGGTGGGGTGGGGTGGGGTGGGAGGTAAGGTTACTTAATAGCAAGGATAAATGCCAGCACCTGGTCGTGTCTTTAAGTTGTAACAGGGTCGTCCACGTGTGTTTTGCTGCACTACATTCTCGTATGGTAACAGTTTATGATACCACAATTTACTAGCTATGTATTGTGGTGTCGTAGAATGTAGTGAATAAATCTGACAAAAAAAGGTATAGACATGAACGTTAAAGCTTGGTGAAGCATGTCCCAATGTGAATTGCCCTTTATATTTTAGTGTTAGATGCAGCACCATAAAACTGAATGTCCCTCACGGGAGTCGAACCTGGGTTGTCAAAATGTATAGACGACAATGGAAAGTATGCATGTTTTTGTACATGATTCAATACTTAAAGGTTTTGCATGGTGGACATGAAAAATGAATGGGAGGTTTGCGGTAACACCATGTGAATTATATCTCTTGTGATTTGTTTGGTTATTCTGAGAACAACTAGTTGAGAAGAACCGGTTGTGTTAACAGTTGTTAGAACAACTGGTTCATCTCAGATCCACACAACTCAAAAGAAATATCATTCACATGGTGTTGCCGCAAACCTCCAATATCATGGTGTTACCACAAACCTCCCATTCGTTCTATACAATGTTACTCATTTTCTGAGCTGGTGCATTCTCACTGATTTACCAACTTCCTGATGCGGTACATAATTTAAATTTCCCAGTACTTTCATCTTTGAGGATATAATTGTAGACAAACAGTTCTTGTGATCATTCAGGAAGCCAACACGGACATGACAGTGCCGATTGTCGTAAAATTGAACAACAATAACATCAGGTGGCATGGAATTGAGACCCGACTGCATGTCAAAGGGAAAGAAATCGAGGAAATGAATTCAGGCAAGGTTGTTTCCTGGATCCGTGTATATATCAGTTGGTATAGCTGAGCATTCCAATGTTTATTCTTCTGTAGTGCTGCATGCGTCAGTAGCTTTAATTTAGCTAATGCCAATTAAACCATAAAACCAATGATTGATCATTATTAATAGCCAATTGTGCAAGGAATTTGAGCACCATGTTAGTAAAGAGTACTGTTAAAAATGCCCGTAAATTTACGGACTCCTTGAAGTGAAATATTCCGTATTTTCGGCGCAATTTTACGGACTTTCCGTAAATGCAAATATTTATTATGCTAATTGGCGTGATTACAATCAACCTTGTCGGCCCAAACACCTACATGTAAATTTACAGACATTTTTAGAACCCGTCAC